CCGGGTGCTGAGGCTGCTCCACGTGGGGTGGCAGTGCCCGTGCTGAGGTGACAGGATGCCCTTCGTTCCCTCCCTTGGCAACGGGTGGCAGCTTGTCCTGACAGAGGTGTTCCTGGGCTGGTTCCTCTGCGTGTGCCCTGGAGAACCTCACCCTGTCTCCCACCACCACCCCTGGCCCCAGGGAGGAGCAGAGACCTCAGACATGGTGCTGGAGCTCTGGGGGTTGATGCCAAGCCAGGAAATGCATTATCAACCTAAAGCATGCCCACGTGTTCAACCCTTATATCTATGGGGGGGCTGATGTCACCCTGGCAGCCCACCTTGAGACCCTGCACCCAGAGCAGGGTCACCTCTTCCTCCCCCGCGCACCAGCCCTGCCAGCACCCTGTCCCAGACAACTCCTCCTGCACCAGGGGAGGAAATCACTAAGAAAAGCATCCTCTGGGACCTGCTAGGCTGGAGGAAGGATCCTCTGGTGCTAATGGACCCCTGGGGAAGCTTCTGGGCACAGCCTGTTTCATTCCCTAATGTGCTGGGCTGATCAACAAAACCCTCTTTCCTAATGGGCTGGTGCTGAGGGATGGAGGAGGAGGAGGAGAGTCATGCTCTGGCTGGGCTCTGCTCCCTCCTTGGTGCCACCAGGGACCGTGCTGGGCTGGGTTGGGCTCTCCAGAGCTCTCTAAGTGGGAAGTGGAGTCTGCTGGGTTGATTTTTCCCCCTTAGCCCTCAAAGGAAAGCTTCTCCTTGGAGGCTGAGAAGATTTGCAGCCCAAGGGTTATTGCTTTCCACTGGAGGGGATTGAATGAGGGATGTTTTTCTGACTGTTTACTGGGTTTTTCAGTGATGATGGTGTTAACCTGGCCAATGGGGACCGTGTGGAGGTGGCTGGCAAATCTGCCTCTCCATCCTGATACTCAGAGCTCCCTGCTCCATGCCTGCAGACTTTACCTCTGGTGGGAAAAATGGAACATTTTGGGGCTTTTTAATACAGCCAAGGACCCAAACTGACCCACCCCTTGAAGGTCCCTTCTCAAGACCCATCTCATGGGCAAAGAGTCAGTGAGGACATGGAGGGGCACAGGGTGGAGGGAGGGACATCTGTCCCCAGGAGTCCAGAGGGTCCAGAGCCACCAGTCTCTGACAGCCTTCTTGAAAGAACCCCCTCTGCTCTGGGAAAAGATTCCCAGTATCCCAGAGGCAGCCAGGTCCCGTGGGAAGGAGGTGGCAATGTGGGCTGCTGCTTCCTCTGAGAGCCAGGGCTGGAGCCAGAGGGTGATTTATTCCTTGGGGGGAGGAGAGAGAGCAGGAGACCCTGAGAAAGGTGCAGGGCAGGGAGACACGGGGCACAGGGAGCACAAGGGGTGGTGGGAGAGCACCAGTGCTGTGGGAAAGGGGGGTAGGGGGTGGGCAGGGGGCCCTGGGTGGCAGAGGGATACCAGAGACTCTCATGCTCCCCACGTCACCAAAACCAGGTCTTTTTGGGGAGTGCTGATGCCACGACACCCCACTCCCACCTCCCCAGGCTTGAGGAGCTCGGGAGAGGCGACACAAACAGCAGCACCCCCCTGCCCCTGCTCCCTCCCTCTCTGCAGTCCCTCCAAGCCGTGTCCCACCTCCCCACTCCCAGGGATTTCTGGGGTCTCAGTGACTCTCCTGGGTGCTCCCTGGCCAGCAGAGCTGTGTGACAGCCACCACCAGAGACACCAGGCTGCCGAGCAGCAGCGGTGCCACCGTGGTCCCCAAACCCCCTCCCAGGGCTTGTAGCCAGCACCCGGGCACAGAGCTGCTCCCAGAGCTTCTCCCCTTCTCCCCCAGCCTTCATACCGTGGTTGGGGGAGCACAGGGGACAGAGTGAGCAGCAGACCTGGTTGTTAGTCACAACCCAGGGCTGGATCAGAGGGAGCAGTGGCTGGTCCTGCAGCCCGGGGGGGGTGGGGGAAGGCCGTGGGGGGGCCCGGCCCGAAGG